TGTTCAATAGAATTTATCACTTTACCCCACCGAGAATTTATCACTTTACCCCATCGACGTCATTTTACGCGCAATGGCGTGGCAACAAAACTATGTGTGATAATTCTTAAATTCTTTTAGATTTAGTTAGATATTCATTAAACCTACACGAAAAACATAATTGCCTGTTTTGAGTACCGAAAATGTTGACAAAATCGTGATTGGCGACAATTCTAAGAAAAACTTTTTGACGAACATTTTTGGGACTGGTCTGTTAGAGCAACTTATTTGCAAGCGAAAACTTCACCGACTGTATATAAAATGAGCTGATGGCTCAGCCAATCGTGTACGGTATATAGTTCGGCTCTCAGATGACTACCTTTGAAAATATGGCGATTTATCACTTTACCCCACTTATCACTTTACCCCACTTTACCTTACTTGCCGCAAATATAATTCCAAGCACGTTACGTCCCATTGGAAATCAATCACACCGTTCTCCACATGGTACCCATTTTTATTACCCAATTTAAGTTTAAACAAATAGCGGTTACAAAGCACTGCTGCTAGAGTAAATTTTTTGGTTACAACATCTTACGGGGCTGAATTAATGAACACTCGATACATGTCATGGAAAAGCCTAAAAATAGAATCTCACCTATCGATCTGATAATACTTAAATTAAACTTACCCAACTCCTCGTTGATTTCCATATTCGTGGTGTTCGGACTACCTTCTGCATTTGTGGTGTTCGGTACAATATCGTCGTCAATTTTCTGCTTTTTGGTCATTTTTCCTTTAAATCTCTTTGCACGTTTTTTGGTCGTCAGGTCATGTAATTTTTCCCGGTCGTTGTCATCACTTTCTGAACTGATGATCAGTTCCAATGGAAAATTGAACGAGTTTGGCATGTCCGACTTTATGATATCAATCGATTGTGTGACATCCTTTTCCAAAATACTGACATTGTTTATCAAATGTTCACTACTTTTTTTCAGTATGTCATTCTCCCCATAGTCTTCGACAATTTTCAATAGTTCCGAGTCATGATCACTTTCTTCGTCTTCTTCGTCGTTTTTTTCCCTTGTTTTGTGCCTGACAATCTCAGTAGCTCCATTAATTAGATGCTTCACTTCATTTTTGATCGATTTTTCACCGTCTTCGGCTATTCGTTCAGCCCGCTGCGAAAAATACTCCGTCTCAATCTTCTTGCACGTTGCTACTAACCTAAAAGAGGAAAAGTTCATCGATTACTGGTCAATTTGATGCTGTTTTCATGCATAATTTACCGAAAATTGATAAAATCAAAGAAATTGGCGATCAATCGCCGGTCTTGAGTAAACGACTCAAACGAACTTGACATTTTATGGAGCTCATTCACGAGTCGGTCTTCATGTGATCCCAATACCTCGTCCAATTCATGGTGTGATTCGTTCGTGCCAGTCATTTCCGATTCTGCGTAGAATTGGGAAATCGATAGATTTTTAATGAATTAATGAATAGGTAAGTGGTACAAAGAATACTCTTTTACAATAAAACGGTGATTTTTTTTAGAAAAGTACACAAAACTGTTCAGTTACTGCGGACAGTGGCAACTGCGTTGCTTAAATAGTAACCAAACTTCTTTTTCATTGAATTTTCGAGAACAAAAAGCCAATAGCAAGAGCTATTATCACCGCCACTAACAAATAGAACAAAAAGTGTGTGCAGCTAATATGAATAGCTGTCAGTCTCACATGCCTGTGAACCAAAAAATCAATGCACTACAAAATGACAAAAAAATTACAAAACTCACGTTGAAGACACCTTTTTTCTCAATTTTCCACGAATAAACAATCAAAATTCCAATTGGATATCCACTGATTAATGTCGTATTTTTACAGAAATTTTGAATTTTCCGATGAAAACACTATGCATACCGATAAACGTACTCCAAATTTGACTGTTCAATGGTTTTTAACTGATGAATGAAAAAAAATATCATGCCGCTATTCTCACTCTCACCTGTAGTTTTATGCAGCATCAATCAGTTACTGTTTTGGTATTGGTGAAATAGGCACAACACTTTGTGTACTGAAATGAAACAATACATAACGCAACACTTGTGCGTGTAATACATGAACACCCGCGTGGTGCTGAATCGTTTACATGTTTTCACCTATGTATTGGTGCGATGCAATAAACAATGGTATTCAACATTAAGCATCGCTTGCGTTGCGCGGTTCACACGATCAAATGGTACAATGTAAAGTATTAAGTGACAGCTAAATAAGCGCGAGTTTCACACAATTTCATTTAAAAAAGACGGCTACAAAGCAAAAAATTAATAGAAACACGGCTCAATTGCCAAACAAAATATTTATTTTTTTTACTTTTCAAACTATGGAAATTACATAGAGTTGTTTAATGTCTTTAATTAAAAAATTTTTTTTTTAAAGGAATTGATGGTTTTTCCTATCAAAAATTTGAATGAAAAAAAATCTTCTGTCTTTCTTCAAGTATGGAAAATATAAGTCAAATATTTTTTTTTGGCTAAAAGATGGATGGAAAAATATGGTTTAGAAAATAAAGCCCTAAAGACTATTTCCATTAATGTTATGGAGGTAAAAGAAAAACTCGTCCATGGGGTCATCAGTGGATTTTAGACTCCCAGTAGTTTGCTATCATCCCATTCGGTGCCCAATAGATTGTGTTTGTTCAAAATCAGTCCGTTGCCAAAAACGACCTTAGTTTCCCAATAAAATTTCTTCAGCAAACACTTCGATGCGATATTATGTATTTTAAGGTGATTCATTAAATGATTTGCTTTGGTTTTGTTTTCACATACGCCACAAATCATGTGAACACTCTCATTGTCGTAGAATTTTTCGGATTGTTTTTTCAGCAATTGATGTTTTCGATCATGATGTTTGTGAAATTCGCCTTTTGTCTCAAATATCTCGGCACAATGAATACACTTGTGTTTCTTGTGTCCCTTAACCTTGACGAGTTCCTTCAAAATATTTTCCGTCAAAACGACTGGGTTGAATAAATTGGCGGTGAAAATCAATTGGTGATGGTTTTCAAAGTGTTGAATAAGCGCCCGATCATAGTTGCTGGAGCAAAGACCACATTTATCTGCGTCTAACAAATGTTTAATTACCAATGGTTTCTTGGGATGTTGATTGTCTTGGTGTTTTTTCATTGCGTCAAACGTGCTGATCACATTACAGTATCTGCATTTTACCAATTGGTCGATTTCAAATCGAAATGGTTCTGATTTGTTTTCGTGACACTTCATCCAGTGGGTGTACACTGCATCGACACTGCCATACATTGAACGATCAGAATCACCACAAATGCCACAAAAATACATCAGATATTGATCAAATTTCGAGTTTTCATTATTTGAATTTGGCTTTTCAGTCAAAAAATCACATTCAAGCTTGAGAGATAGTTCTTTCCTGAATTTGGTGCATCTATTACAGTGACGAATGATGTCTTCCTTCGTTTTAAGTAAATCTTTGCACCATTTACAAACGAAATATTGCTGACAATATGCATTCCATTCGATTGCCTTCGTCCATGTAATCGTTGCGTCAAAGTTAACTCTCTTGAACAATTGAATCAGTGTCAAACTGGCATAAAGCGATTGATGAGAGTGTAAATAATGTTGAATTGCTTTTGAATACACATAAAAACGTGCCGCACATTTATCGCACTCGAACAGAATGATGACGTTTTGTAAATCTTCTGCTCTGCTCACAATACTTCGAATATCACGACGATATGTACATTTTTCGTCATTGTGATTGAATACAGAGTGTTTGATGAGTTTTTTGTCGCCAATGAATTTGTCCGAACATACACCACACTCGTACAATTGGCTGCTGTGAAGGTACAAATGATTGTTTATAGCCCGATAGTTGTGATTTCTTATGTTCACATCTTCGTCGCAGTGTGGACAAAAATATACAATTTTTGTTGTATGATGAGTCTTAAAGTGATCCTCAAGCTGCTTTACATTTTCGTGAGTTGAATTGCATCGCGTAACACCGCAATTATACCGACGATCGACCTCAACATATTTGTAATGGGTCGAGATTGACGAATATCGGCGCGATAGATCTGGCAACAATGTCAATTTTTCCATAAATTCATTTGCTTCGTCCCATGACTTTTTGTGATCATTATAAATGTGTCTGGTGATGGTACGAAAGTTTGTTTTTGTATAATTACAAATTCGACACATAAACGCTTGCAAATGTTCGCCATCAAGTAAAACAACAACCGATGATGCGGCTTCACAATGAACCGATTTATCGGACGACAATTCAGCATGGCATCGACTGCAACTGAATTGATTTTCACCAGTATGCTGTAATATATGACGTTTCCATTGACGAAGACTCGCTTCCAAATTTTGCTCGCAAAAATAACAAGTCGCATAAATTTTACCCGGTGAATACTTTGCATTCACAATGGGATCCACTAGAGATCGCAATTTGAAAGCCATTTTTGGTGATAATCGGTCCACTCGGTGTGCTTCTATTTCGTTAGGCTTATTCTTCGATTGTTTGTCATCAGCATGATCCGTATCAGTCAGCGACTCCTGTTTGCCGTACTTTTTCACCATTGGTTCTCGTTCTGCACTGCAGTTGGTAAGCGCAGCTTGGCCCGATGTACGGCTTTCCCGAACAATCTCGCAAATATTGCTCACACTAAAAGTTTTTCAACAAGAATAGAAATTATAAAAAAAAATTCCGAAAATTTTCGAAGCAATAACTCACCGATTAGACAAAGAATCAAAAATGTGTCGCATTTGGATTTCATTCGGTGCCGTGTCATGGCTTGCCGTGTAGCTATTCACCATTCCCAGCAAATGTTGTTCAATATTCTCTCGATGGCGTTGGAAAATTTCCTCCAATATATTGACATGATTCATGGTGGACACTGAAAATTGAACATAAATGGAAATTAATTTTTTTCTTGTTTTTTTCCAGACCAATCACATTTGTTTCTTTTTTTAACTAAAACAATAAAAGAAAAAAACTCGATTGAAAAAGTCAAAAACTGTTCAAACTCCGTTATGAATATAATTTAATTACTGTTTTAACCTTTTTTCGGATAGATATCCGCTCGTTTTGTTGTATGCTTTTAATTCAATCCTTTTTATGAAAGTGTCAAAGCATAAAATGTCAGAGTATAAAGTAACTAAACACACCAGCATACTACGGGAGAATGAAACAAAAGGACAAACAGAGTGACAGATGATCGGTGTTTGGTTAGCATATACACAAACACCATCAAAATACATAGAAATCGCTATAGCGGGGCACCCATATTCTAATGGATACAATTGTCTTACTACTACTAATGCTGATCAAAAAATTTATTCTGTAAACAATAGAATTGTGACGTCACATCTATGCACTCTCACATCGAGACGCCATAAACACATCCAACATTCAATGCGCTAGTTTATACAATATACATACACAAATTCTCTTCTTTTTTTTCACTCGTCTTTGCGTTTTTATGAAAACGGCGAATAGTCTAGTGAGAGAGTAGGAATGAGATGAGAGAGAATGGGAAACAGATGAAAAAGACAAGAGAAAGAAAAACAAAACGATCATAATAAGGCACCGGTCAATTAGAATATTACTGTATTTATTTGAATTAAAGATAAACCGTTTACACATTGAAAACTAATCTCAAGACTAAATCTAAATTATCGTTTTAAATAGGTTTTAACGAAGTAAAAACTGTTCTATTGTCCATATTTTTTCGAGTATTCATTTCTACATTGAATGAAATTATTTTTATAAAAATATTTAAATTAGCATATCAAATAATAAAATGCATTGATTTGACTTCTCAAGGATTTTTCAATCATAAATTGAGTTTTAAATAGTTATTTTCTTCTTATTATTATTCTTATTATTGGACCCTTATGATGTTTTCATCTTTATTTCTTTGTGACAAAAGTGCCAATAAATTCAGCAAACTCCTTGCTATCATCATGTTCGGTGCCCAAAAGATTGTGTTTGTTCAAGACCAATCCGTTGCCAAACACCACCATCGTTTCCCAATAGAATTTCTTCAACAATCCAATCTGTGAAAAAGCATGAGTTTTGAAATGATTGAATAGTTCCACTGGATGAAGTTTTGTATTGCAGCAGCCAGTAATCAAATGGATGCTCTCGTTGTCATACAATTTCGTGTAACGTTCTTTAAGCATATAATGTTTTCTACCATGATGTTTATGATAATCGTCTTTTGTATCGAAAAAATCGTCGCAATAATCGCACTTGTATTTCTTGTGTCCCTTAATTTTGATCAATTTCTGGAGCATATCGTCGGCCAATGCGATTAGATTGAAGAGATCAGTGTTCAACACCAAAAGATGTTGGTTGTTAAAATGTTTGGGCATGTTATCAGCAGATCGGGCGTCGTGATCAAGGCATAGGCCACATTTTAAGCGATCAAATAAATTCTCGATGGCGAACGATTTTGTTGGATGTTGTTTGGCATGGTGTTTTTCCAATCCATTGAATGTACTGATGACATCACAGTAATGACAATATGCCAACGGAGCCACGGTAAATTGAAATACTTTCTTAGCATGGTAACTCCGCCAGTGTTCATATACTTCATCAGCTTTCGAATAAAATGTTCCAGAATGACTGTAATCAGTGCAATGTGCACAAAAATACATCAAAAATTGGTCAAAATTTACGTTTTGTACCGGCAGTGTAACTTTTTCCGCATCGATAATGTAATTTGTGCTGAATTCCATAATCAAGGGCTGTGAGCTATGGGTGGAACGATAGTGAACGCAGAGTCCCTCTTTCGTTTTGTATATGTCATGACACAAACCACATTCAAAATGCTGCTGAAATTTCCAAGTATGCCCGTTATCCAAAGCTGCATACTTTGTCACACCTTGGTCATCTGTTTCCTTGACAAATTGCTTCATGGTAAAATCAGCATGATGTGAATTGTGTCGTTGCATATAGTGTCGAATGGCCGGAGCCAGCGCATCAAAACAGCAATCACATAAACTGCAATCAAACATAATGAGGACTTCGTGTTTGTGTTGAATGAGATTGCCCTTCCGAATATCACGACGAAATTTAACGATGTTTGTTTTGTGAGCGGCTAACAAATGTCGAATTATATGGTAATCATTGGCAAAAATCGAATCACAAGCGAGGCATTGATTGACAATGCTACTGTGTGCAAAGAAATGCTGTATAATGGAACCGAAAAAGTCGTTTGGATTTGATTGATTTTCGATGATTTCGCTGCAGTGTGGACAGTTAAATGCATCGATATGTTGATGGTGCTGCATGAAATGCTTCTTAAACATGCTCGGACTAGGCGATCTCTTCGAACAATCTCGCATACCACAAGAATATCGCTGGGTGCTTAACACGTACTTGTATTTGGTCGCAATGGGTGTAGCTATCGGTCGCAAATTTGGCAGCAGTATCACTCTTTGGATACAGTCTTTGATTTCGGAATCGGATTTGTTGTGTTCTTCCGTTAAATGAACATTGATTCGATGCCGATCAAATTGCAAATAATTGCAAATGCAGCACACAAACGCTGTTAAGTCGGATGATGTGCAAATGTCGTTGCACTGTTCGAGATCGTTTGTTGATGTATTGCAATTGTATTTTTCCTCATTGGTATGTTCAAGCAAATGACTGTGCCATGCATCAAAATCCATTTCCCAGCGTCGTTCACATACGAAACACATGGCTCGGATTTGACCAGATGGATCTTGTGTGGCTCTTAAAATTGCATCCGATAGAAGACGCAGTTTCTTTGCCATTTCTGTTGTAAGTCTAGTAACAACGCCAGGTATCTTCACTCTTATTGGTTCGAACGGCAGCGTCACCGTAGATGTATCGATAGCACCTTTCTGGTCTTTCATATCAACCTTTCGTCTTTTCGCCGAATGAGCTTTGTGAAATTCCAAAAGCGAATCAATGGACGTCCCGAAAAGTGACGACGCTCCTTCTTTGTTCACCGATTTCATGTCGAGTTGCACCATGTCCAAGTCTTGACCAAGTCTATTACATGTTTTCACGGACACTACTTTGTTTGGCTCATTCATCACTTGATCAATCGAATCAAATGTGTGTGGGTATTGGTTCATTATCTCCGACATGCGAATTGCACGGACATCATCGCAAATGCTGGTCATGCTGACAAATGTAAAACGAAAGTAAGCATTCCATTCAATATAAAAACTGGCTGGTACTTACCGCTGACGTAGCATATCGAAAAATGGCTTCGCTTTGCACTGATTAAATGCCGTGTCATTGACAACACGAACCATTGGCCACAGTTCATTTTCTATATCCTGTTTGGAGGACTCATAAACCTCTTCCAGCAAGTCACCGTAGTTAATGCTCATGTTTTATTCTAGAAAAAATGTCGAAAAATAGATAAAATCACGTTGAACTCCTTTGGATATTACACGAACAATGTTGAAATAGTAAATCAATTTTTCAAGCATAAAATGTCAACAATTTAAAGGAAAAGTAAACTATGGATTTATTGAACGAATGAGAAAGCACAAAAGAAAATACTAACAATATTTGAATCGAATGACAACAATTTTTGTGACGTAAACACAATTTTGTCACACAACATTAGTGCAGACTAAACAAATATCAGACAGTGCTTCGTAATGTCAAAGACTCCCAGTTCATTTCCAAAATGGTCCAGAGTTGGCGCTACGGTCGGCATGTATTTGTATTAGTGAAAGCGACCATAAACATTGCTTTTCCGCGTGTGTGTGAGAAAGATAGTTTTCATTGAGTCTCTCATTGAGATATTCGCCAGACATTTTATATGCACCGTTAAAACTTTCAATTTTTGTTAAGCATTTTTGCCAAAGTTTCCAATGAATCTCAATCCCTTTTCTTCAGTCATCGTTAGAAATTTGATAACAGTTCTATACATGATCAATGATACTGACCTGTCATGAAAAAGATATTCGATGACCCAAGCTCCAAAACGAAACTTTGCTATTAAAAGAGTACGAAAACGCACAAAGGCAGCAGTCAGAGTTGGTAAATGCACCTCACGAGTGCGCGCCCTTATAAGTTGTGTGCAACTCTTCTTGGGTGCGCGCACCTGATTCCATATAAATGTTGGGTGCGCGCACTTGGAATTTTTTTTCTTGCTTATTTCAATATAAAAAATCGTCAAAAATGTATTTTTTACTTAATTTTTTCCATTTTGAATTTTTTCACATGCAAAAACTGTTTACATGTAAAGCAATGTGGTTCAAAAGACAACCAGCAGGCGGCTACTTGTAGCTGTCAAAATATATAAGAAACACAATTTGACAGTATTTTGTATTGATATATTGAAGATGACCAAATAAAAAATGGAAAGATTTAAGTAAAAAATACATTTTTTTCAATTCTTTATATTGAAATAAGCACGAAAAAAATTCCAAGTGCGCGCACCCAACATTTATATGGAATCGGGTGCGCGCACCCAAGAAGAGTTGCACACAACTTGTAAGGGCGCGCACTTGTGAGGTGCATTTACCAACTCTGGCAGCAGTAGTGTAAAGTTTTTCTAAAGTGTTTCTATTGGCAGGCAATCTTTCGAGTTCGTGTATGTGAAATTCAATGAAAATATATGTTTTTGTCTCAAACATTAAATCAAAAAAATTCTCGCTTCAGTATAGTTTTGGACTGGTGCCAAATTTACTTATTCAAAGAAACTTTTTATGCTAAAAAGTGAAATCGAAAAGCGCAAAGCAGCAATGTAAAGAAAATAATGATATTGTAAGTAGTTGGCAAGATTCAATTCCCGGTAATACGGTGGCACAAGGCAAACATTTTAACGGCGATTTGAAACAAATTGATCCCGATTTTTGAAATATGTCAAGTAATTGGTGCAATCGATCTTTGCACCGGACAGTCTCGTTGTGGAACGCATTAATGGCGAAAAAGCTCGGGCACGAGATTTGGTGCAGTATTTACAATTTTTCAATGGAAGATAACTGCCAGAACCGAAAACCGTTTTATTGGTATGATTTATTACAAAATAAAATGTCTTACATCCATAAGATGAACTTTTCCGCACTGTGATCAACAACATGCATTCATTACATATCTTTTACTCAAAGAATTCACGAGAAAACTTAATCTGTCATTAGTTTTACGATACAAATAATTTTCGACGCAATTTTCATAGAAAAACTACTAAAAATGGGAATTTTCGTATCGGAGCCATGCCTATATGATATCGTAATCATGTGAAAATTTGCCAGGATCAAACAATAGGTGGTATAACTCACAACGCTTTATACCATTTCTCCACTCGTATCTAATTAACATTCAAAGCTTCAGCCCAATAAAAGCTGATCACAAATGTAGAATAAATGCGAGTGGAGCAGGTCATATAAAAATGGTACAAAAAACTGTTATAATTTCACAGTCATTCTTTATATGACAACGATGCACTTTTGAATAGAAACGTGCCACGTTTTCTGAACAAATGTTCATGTCAATCAAAATTGAGTCTAGGGGATGGACACCATTATAAATATTAGAATATTAGCGGAATATTAGCAAAATATTAGCAAAAATTAGTTTGTTTTGCTTCACCATTGCTTGTTAGAGAATTGCGCACTTTGCTCACCGAAAACTTTTTTTGTTACTTTAAGTGTTTTACTATTTAATAGAAATAAATTTTATTTTTTCTAAACCAGGAAAAATAAAAAAATGTTAAATGTTCATCTAAGAATTTATGAAAAATTCATACATGATTTCACTTTGAGATTAGCTATTTGACGTTTGAAGTTTATACTAGTGAACTAATATTAGCAATTGCATAAGCGGTGCACAGAGAGCACTACGAATCCAAATGACGTACGCGTACTGATTCATACTTTAATATGTCACACAGAGTACGACCATAAATACTCGCCTCATTGAAATACTTATTTTTTATGTAAATTCATGTAAATAATATTTACAACACATTTTATAAATTTTTATTTAAATTGATATTTTTTACTAATTTCTTTTAATCATATTTAATACTTGTGTATAAAATATGAACAAATATGAATTTCCGTATAGAGCAGATATGATTACTCCTAAATTGCACATAATATTTATACATGCATCGATTGTTCATGTGTATTTTAGGAGTAATATCTTTACCATTCTATGCAAAATGTGCTACGGGCAGAACAAATATGATAAAAAATGTGCTGTACGTAGAACATTTTTGCATTGAATGGTAAAGACATTATTCCTAAAACAAATTGCAATGATGTCCACAGAACGAATGGTGAAAAAACTATATTATAAGACACATAAAATGACTCAAAATAAAAACAAGCATTATTCAATAAATATTAAAAATTAATGCAATTCAGGAGTAACCCGAAAAACACAACGTAATACATAACCTTGAAATTGAATGATACTTTGTTTTCACACAAAGTGTATTATGTGCAATTTAGGAGTAATCACATCTGTTCATTGAAATTCAATTATGGATTAATTGAAAATTTAAATGAGTTCATATTTTAAAGACAAGTAATAAATATAATAAATTAGAATTGATAAAAAATAATTTTCAATATAAATACAATAAATGTGTTGTAAATACTATTTTCATGAATTTACAAAAAATAGATATTTCACTTTACGCTGTAAGTAACAGGGCTACTTTGGAGTAACGCTATAAGTAAAAGTGATGTACGCGTAGTCGAGAAGAAGAAGAAGACATAAAATTACGTCTGTGCACCGCTTATGCAATTGCTAATAATATTAGCAATATTAGTATGTCTGTATAGTTATAATAGTAGATTTTTTTATTAATATTAGAAAAATATTAGCAAAATTAGCAGCAAACTATGAAACTAGATTTTACTAGACTTTGTGTCCGTCCCCCAGAATTGAGTTATTGTTTACTGCATTCAATCGGTTAAATGATTTATTTACTTATTTGTTTGTTTTGATGGTGAAACAAATTTGTCGACTTTTTTATACCATTGACCGAGAGTGCGACTTCTGTCATGTGATTCAAATACAGAATTTTACACAAGAATGCGAATTCTCTACTGTCTTCTTCTTTTTTGCAATATTGACCTACTACCGTAATGTGTGAGCTCAGTTTTGGAGGGGAGGGAGTGTAATTTTTAAAAGTTGATTGTATTTCGTCCAAACGAATTTTTCTCCGGAAAAATGAAGACCTGAAAATATTTTGGTAAAACACCATCCATTTCTCTTCTCGGGTAACGACTCAGGCTGCAGTGCATTTGTTGTATTTTTTTGGACTGTTTTCTTTTTAGGGGCGTCTATTCTTATAATAGTTGGTTCTTGCTACATTGAAAAATGTTTTTACTGGTTTATTTGAATAGTTTAGTTTTTGCTTGTGGGATACTTCCACTAAATAGGGACTATCGCGGCATATTTATAGTAAGATATTTATTTATAATACTTAGAAATAAGTCTTATTTCGTTGCGTGCACGCTACATTGCAAACGCACGACTCTGCTTGTACATACACAGAGACGAAGAGCGCAAAGGCTACTCTGTGTTCTCTGTGTTTAAACAGAGTCTGTTTGAAGATAAATACGACTTGAACTGACACATATTCTTTCTAAATAGAGTGTAAACATAAAAATTTGCATGCTTAATAAATGATAAATAAATAATTTTTATGTTTTGTGTTGTGAATGTGGCGCGATAATTGCATGGCTTTATTCATAGACCGAGTATCGCCGAGTATTGTTAATAAGTTTAAATTTCAGACGGACCTTACTTCAAATCTTATTGATATATTTTCGTTGGTTCTTTTGAGTATTACTTCAGTGCGAGTATTACACTCACAAAATCGAAAAAATATGATATGCATGAACAAAACAAACACAACACAACACAACACCAATTGATTTGAATTCCTTTGGAATATTTTTAAATTTTTGAAGCAAATTTTTTTTTATTGACTTTAAAATCCGTCGCATTCATTTAAACGATCAAGCTGCTTGTAAGAATGAAAGCATAAACAACACAGAGTTCACACAGACAAACAGCGAACAGAATAATTATTTTGTTCGTTGTGCGCACACAACAGCAAGAACATAAGACTGTGTTTATACACAGAGAACACAGAATAGCCTTTGCGCTATTCGTCTCTGTGTATGTCCATGCAGAGTCGTGCGTTTGCAATGTTGCGTGCACGCAACGAAATAAGACTTATTTCTAAGTATTATAAATAAATGTCTTACTATAAATATGCCGCGGTAGTCCCTGCCACTAAATAACAAAAAATAATAAAAATATTCTAAAACCTACATGAGAACAGTAAAAATTAAGGTAGGGTTATTCGTCAATGAAAAAAAAAACTAGCAAATCGAATAAAAAAAACTCATGGCTTACACCCTCTGTGCCCATGTTCTAAAATAGATATTTTGAACTATCAAATAACAATGATTTTCTTCATTCCCAGAGGAAAAAGCCAACCTGCACAATGAAAAAGTAACTGCCGAGTTAACAGTGGGTTTCAAGCGAAAAATGCTCAAAGGAATCGATAGCATGAAAACATTGTCATCTGAGCTTTTAAATCAGTTGCATGAAGAAGCAAAGCAAATTGTTATCGATGAGGTGAGTTGAAAATCGCAAATATTTGCTTTTCCGGAATTTAGCTGAAAATACTTTTTTTTTACTTTGAAAAACTCTATTTTGTTCTAAAATTGTCTCATTAAATGCTTCTGATTACAATTTGATCGGAGAAAAATGGGCGAAAGTGGGATAACAAATAAATTCTTAACAACAAACAGATTTAGAAGACTTTTTGCTAACATCCGTTCGAATGGTGAATTTCTACAATGAGTCGGTGAACGTTTATTCAAATTGGATGACAACCTTACTGCTGAATCCCACTAAATACGCCGCTGAAAATGATTTAATCAAAATACATGAAATTTTGAAAAAGGAAATAATATCACAGATACATTCGATGAACTAAAAAGCCAAAAAGTGTTAAAATGACCTAATGACAGTGGAATATGAAATGTTTCAAGTGTCTAAGGTCAAAAGTCCCTCTTTTCTACCAGAAAATCTTAATAACAAGAGAATTTCAAACGTACAGTTTCAGAAAAAATCGCATTTTGCCGACATTAATCTGAAGTCGTCTATCCAGCACCAAGTTGAAAGTGAAATTGAGCGAATTTTCAAGCTCTTTGCCAAGGAAAATGAAAGAAAGCGACAATATTCAATTGTACGTGATTATATTTGTCTGTGTGATTCGTTTAAATGATGTTGATTTGTTTCAGAGAAAAATTACACAACATGACGAAGAGCTGATGCTAAAAATCGAAGAATCGCTTAAGAAGAAGGCATACGATGAAGTTAACAAATCAAGTTCTTACCTCAATGAAAACGAAGTTTGGAATTTGATTCAAGAGACAAAACTATCCGCTCTGAAACAGGTGAACTATTATTTGTTTGAAAAGGAGAAAAATTGCAATATAAAAGTGTGTGTGTGTGTCTTTTCTTATAGTAACAAATGATGAAAAAAGGATTTGGACACATTTCAAAACGGTGTAACGCACAACTTGAGAATAATTTCATTGAATTTTCTCGCTCACTGGAAGCATTCAATAATAATAAAAAATATGCTTATCAAACGAAAAAAACGTTCAAAACAGGAGGGCTTGCCACCGAAGGTGCAGTTGCGGGTGGTGCGATTGCTGGACCCCACTGTGCCTTGATTGGAGGTCTGCTTGATTGGAAGTGCCTTGATTGGAGGTTTGATTGGCTTGTTTGCATGAGTCGTGAGTCGATTAATTTAGATTTAATTTCCACTTGTTTCTGTACATTTTAAAGAGTTTAAACTACTTCATAAGATAATTAAAGATTTAACTTAATTAAATAATAATAAATAAATTAAAGATTTAACTTAACAAACAATAATCTTTGTTTTCAAAAAAATTATTTGTGATTTTAAGCTTTTACAATCGAAATGAAGTCAAATTATAATGATTTTGAAGTAGAAAAACATGTATTTTTTGTGTGTTCATTAAATTTACTGTTAATCTAATTCTAAATTCGATAAAACTTAAGCTCTTTAATAGTTCCTCTTTTATCGAATCCTTTAGTGGTGGGATCTTGATGAAAGTTTACAATGATATTCGAGTTGATTTCAACTTTCGATTTTAGAACGTTACCAGTGCAGCAGTTTGGTGGTGGGTCTTGTTTCAGTTGTATTTCATACATAAATCCAGGTCTCACGAGAATGTGATTCGTCAAAGTTATGCGTGAAGTCGACTTAGATTTCAGATGAGTGTTTGCATCATAAAGAAACAGTTCTTTGTTGGACGGAGCAGATTCATTGATTTGAACGATTTTTATTTCAGTTGCCAGTTCCTCCATAACATAGTATTCAGTCGACTCATATTTGCTTAGTTTGCTACATGTAATTTGCTTCAACATCATCGGTTGATTAACGGAAAATATGGTCTTTTCAATATTTTTGATGTAGTATGGCTTCTTTAAAAATTCGAATGCCATTAAACGATCACATGTAATCTGTTCCCTTTCATTCCACTGAAGATTTTCAAGTGGTATTCTGAATTTATTGCTGAACATGTTTGGTTCGAAGTCTGGCACCAAAGTTGATTGAATAATGTCTCTGTATTCGTCCGATGAGAATAAATTACCATATAATGAAGTGATATTAGCAAACTGCTGTGGACTCATAGATTTGAAGCGAATTTCGTAAAGTAAATTGCCCAGTTGTTGTTCAACAGCTTCCCGTGTTAAATTGTCTGCATTTGCTGCAGTTTTGGTCCATTCCATGCAGGCCTCGAACAATTCGCTTTCAGAACATGACAATGAGTCTATGTTTAAAATGTGACTAAGCACCTTACGGTCGCACTCCATAAAATTTCCCGATGTCAGCACGTTCTTTGTATCGAAAGCGATTGCGGTTTCGCAATATTTCTTCAATTTTGTTTGATTGAAAAAAATGCCGAGCTCATAATTCTGGAAAAGGTTTTCATCATTCTGTGAATTGATCAAAAATTGTTCGCATACGTCCAAGCAGCCAGCCACATTGTATTTATCTCCAAGGTACATGACTTTGGCAACATTTTTCGTGGTTAAGGTCACTTGTTCAAAGTAGAAGAATTGCAGAAATTCTTTAAATTCGACGGCCGAAGCATCAACAATGTCGACTTCCTCCTTTTCTTTCCACGTTTCATTGAACATTGTGCGAAATACATCACTGACGCTTTTCAATAGTAGTTTATGTGCCGGGATGTGTTCATATTGTCCATCGGCCAACTTAAAAACAAAGCGAACATCGGCCAATTCACTTTCCAAATACAGTTCTTCGCCAATTTTCGAGTAAACTTTACTCGTGTTTTTGTTTATGATTGACATAGTGGTGAATGGTCCATGGTCTATATTTTTGTGACAAATACTCACTTCCAAAATAGATAATGTTTCGACTGATCACGGACTTCTGTGATGATCTATGCTTGGATTGAGGTTCAGTTTGAAATGGATTTTTCTAGAGAAAAAAAAATAATTCAATTTTATTTTAGTGGGGATATCAATCTATTCATAATTCAGTAGTCTCAATCATTCGTCAGTGTAGCGGAATTATTGAATTGCAAAGAAATAAATTCTTATAGATACCTGCAAACCAGTTCGTGACAAAAAGAGGACAATGAATATTCATAAAAATGATGATTCACACACTACTTCTTCTTTTTATTGTTTGATAGATAATCATTAGTGAGGCCAAACTCGTTCCGTTTTAGGTTAGGTTTCGTTGGAATCGAAATTTCAGTCGATAATACTAAGAAAATAGAAAAAATGAAACATATGATATCAAATGAATTTGTCTAGTTCTAGTCTTTGATAGACAATTCCTTTACTTTAGAGAATAGTTCATTTCAAATTCAATCTCTGATTACTACCCGAACAGCAAATATATTGGTTTATCCGATTCGATATTCTCTGTACCAAAATGTGTAAAATGTGGTTTGGAACTCAAGATGATTATTATATACTGAACGCTAATAATATGTAAAATATTTACGAAATTATTTCGCTAGAAACTAGATAAAATGGTAATTGTGTTGCACTATGCTTACACGCTTGGTGACAATGGCTCAATTTATAAGAAAATGTGCTTTTGGTCGTTGACGTTTACCTCTGAAGTATGCGTGGCGGTGATCTGTGTACTGCTCGCTATTCGTGTATTTGGTTAAGCATGTATTTGTATGTGTGCCGATTTACGAATTGGATTGGCTTACACGAGACAGAAACTTACAGAAACAGAGGCGAAAGATAAGAATCGTCCTTTCATTTGATGATTTCAATTCCAATCAATGTGTGAATAAATTGATGCAACGAATAAAGTCAAATGTCATATTTGTTCACATATTTTAATTTCTGTCTAATGCAATGTTTGACAAAAAAATTCATCGACAAAATTTCAGAGTATCCTGATTTGCTGCTGCTCAGCATAAAGCTGAGAGCTGAGAAATGCTGAGCTCGTGCGGCTAACGCATACGAAACTGATGCACGATACATATTCCCCTTTCGCTTCGTATGTGCTGCCGTTGACGCTATTGCCGGTACAACGGTTACACACTATACCAGCGAACATACGAAGTGAAAGGGGAATATATATCGTGCATCCGTTTCGTATGCGTTAGACGTACACTTTCAGAATATATGAAAGACTGAGAGCAAAAACAGCACGTCGCATCTCATCTCTTGCTTTCACTTACGTAAGCAAAATAACGAGGGATGCGACGTGATGTTTTTCTCGCAGCTTCTCATATGTCGGTCGCAACACAATTTCAAACTCAACTGGTTACTAAGTTTTGAGTTTTGAATTGAACGTCCAATCAACTGTTTATAACCGTTTAAACGGGGAGAATGCATGTGTGCGTGCCATCCGTTTCGTATGCATTAGCCGCACGAGTTCAGCATTTCTCAGCTCTCAGCTATATGCTGAGCAGCAGCAAATCAAGATGCTCTGCAAAATTTCATATAAGTAATAATAATTTCTTGTTTTCTGTTCTAAAAATTAAATAATTTATTTTCCGTTTTTTTACATAAATCAACTTAAAATGAAAATTTAGAAAGAATGGACAATTCTGCCAAAATATTGAGCTAGAAACTTCTGTCCCTTTCACAATTATACGTGTTCGATGAACACTGTCTTCTTACTTAATATTATCGAATTATCATTTAAAGTAGGGTATATCGACAACAGAAAAAGTGCAAAATTCTTTTTACGCTAGGGAAAAACGGCGTGGATAATTTACTCTCATCAATCTGCATGCGGTAATATCCCAGCGTCCAACAAATGCTCCCATCTTCTCTTTTCGATACATCCACATTTATAGCTATATTTATAGTCTGTTGAAAAGATCTGTAAAGTAAACCGGTGCTTTCAATAATTCTTTCTCTTTCTTTTCTGTATAGGCATTTTACAATTGAAGGTGAGATAGGATTACATTGAAATGACACTTAAATTCGATAGAATTGAAGTGCCAAAATATTTCCCCTTGGATTAGAGTTCCCATCAATGGGGTCTTGATGAAACTGTACAGTAATATTCGGGTCCATTCGAACTTCTGACTTCAGTAAGCAGCCCGTGCAACAGTTTGATGGTGGTGTTTGTTTTAGTTGAATTTTATAGATAAAACCAGGTCTCACAAGGATTGGCTTCGGCAAATTTATGTATGCACGTTCTTTAGATTTGAGATACGTGTTTCCATCATAGAGAACACATTCGTTTACTCTTCGGAACCATTTTCTATTTGTGAATTCCGATTCATTGACTTGAACGATTTTTATTTCAGTTGCCAGTTCCTTCATATTGTAGTAATCATTTGACTTATATTCAAATATTTTGCTACATGCAATTTGTCTCAAAATCATCGGTTGATTGACAGAAAATATGGTCTTTTCAATACTTTTGATATAATATGGATTATTTGCAAGTCCTGATGACAATAAACGATCACATTCAATCCTTTTTTCATCATTGTACTGAAAATTTTCAGGCGAAATTCGGCGATTTTTGCTGAACATTTTTGGCTCAAAGTCTGCCATCACAGTTGATTGAGAAATATCTTTGTATTCGTCTCCAGAGATTAAACTGCCATACAATGGAATGAGAGTGGAAAATTGCTGCAGTGTCATCGATTTGATGCGAATTTCGTAAAGTAAATTGCCAAGTTGTGCTTTAACATCTTCCTTTGTTAAATTATCCTCATTTGCTGCAGTTTTGGTCCATTCCATGCAGGCCTCGAACAATTCGCTTTCAGAATATGACAATGAGTCTATCTTCAATATGTGACTCAGCACCCCACGATCGCACAACAGGAAATTTTCTGATGTCAGCACGTTCTTTGTATCGAATGTGATCACGGTTTCGCAATATTTCTTTAAATTAGGTTGATTGAAAAAAATGCCGAGCTCATAATTCTGGAAAAGGTTTTCATCGCTCAGTGAATTGATCAAAAATTGTTCGCATACGTCCAAGCAACCAGCCACATTGTATTTAGCACCAAGGTACATGACTTTGGCAACATTTTTTGTGGTCAATTTCACTTGTTCAAAGTAGAAGAATTGCAGAAATTCTTTAAATTCGACAGCCGAAGCATCAACTATGTCAAATTCCTCCTCTTCGTTCCACGTTTCATTGAACATTGTGCCGAATACATCGCTGACGCTTTTCAATAGTAGTTTATGTGCTGGGATGCGTTCATATTGTCCATTGGCCTTAAAAACAAAACGAACATCGGCCAACTCATTGGTCAAATACAGTTTTGCGCCAATTTTTGAGTAAACTTTACTCGTGTATTTGTTAACGGGTGACATACTTAAAGGCGCTTTGACAAGTTTTTATTAACAATACACGATTATTGAATGATTTCAGTTAAAGGCAATCTGATAAAAAATAAATAGAGAAATATAGTTTAAACGGGCAAATTGGGATGGAAAATCTTATTGATTCCTTTAAAATATGCTTACCTTGAAAGATCTATCGAAATGTAGTAAAAAGGAAAGTTTTATGATCAAATCTGTCCACTTTATACAACAAAAAGAACTTCTTTAATATTTATTAGTGTAAAGAGAGAATTCAAGCGGAATAAAAAAAATTATTTCAAAAAAAATTCCTTTTCAAAACGAGACTGCTTCGCTCACTGTAACAACTGAAACTAAACTGATTTTTTCAAAATAATGATGATCACAAGACTGCCAAAAAAATACTTATAACTTGTAAAATGGGCGGAATTCAGAGAGAAGTAGTGAACTATGAACTGCATTCGGGGACTCACAAATTGGTTCTTGTCGTTCTTCTGTTCTTCGTTATGACTCTTTGCATATAATTCAGAGAAGATCAACACAATGGCATCATAATTTGGTACTATTTATAACCCTTCTTTCCAAGAATTTTTCAATTTTCTTAGAAGGATTCTTCAGATTATGAAAAAAAGAATATTCCACGGAGCCATAATTGAAGAAAAAAAATTTCGGATTAAACCTTATATTTCAGGTGGTTCGATTTTTGGGAATGCCAGCATCCCATTCATTTATAGTTAAACGTTTTTGAAAAAGACGTTTTTTCTATCATAATTGAGTTCACAGAGCGCCATTAGAGGTCCGTTTTGTTAAATTTGGCATCAAATATCTAGGTTTCATTCCAAATCATGGCATAAACGTACTTAAGGGTACTCAAGTGTTTGAATCGATGGTCACATCGAATGTAGACCACATTGTTTGACGTTTAGGTGAAGCTGCCTTATTTCTGTGTATTTTTGCGCAACAACAAACCGACTATTGTGTACACTCTGTAAATGTTCCGTTGTTTTTGTTTGTGTGAATTGACTTGTTTAAGAAAATTGAAGTAAATATTCTGCAGTTCGTTAATAATAATTATAAAATTCGTGCAAAAAAATTGGATTGCCTATTTGTGCATTAAAATTAGTCGGGCTGAATCAGACAGATACAATACTTCTAGTAGAACTATTTTGAACATTTGATGCTGTGTAATGGGAAATTGTTGCATTTGCTATTCTATCAGCTTAGTCAGAACACTCGAAGCAATAGTGAATACAACAAATTTTCCGATTACAAGAGCACAACACCGAATCAGTCGGCATAAAATACATCTGTGTTGATTTGGTGGTCTGTGAATGGGCAGTGCGAAAGTAAACCAAAGTTATGTTTTTTGTCTCCGAATTTGGTTTGTTTTTATCTGCGGAGTGAGTCTCTGGATTAATGCTATGGCAACCGTGTACGGTGTAGACCGTGATGAAAGAGAAAAATGTTCATAATCCATGGAACAAAATGGGTAAAAAAACTATTTGGGAAAACTATTTTGGTCAGTTCAATTCTAGTTTCCACATCAAATACACAGACGTATACAAGTCTATACATGCGAAATTTAGTGCAAAGGATCCAATGGTCCGCCTCTCAATGAGATTAATTGACTTTTATTTATGTATTTGTTTTTTCCAAATTGCAGAAATTTTTTAGAGACGTCCAATTTTATGTATTTTCATAGAGACTAATTTAATGTATATTTTCAGGCGCAATGGATATGAGTTGGAATGATATTGTGAAAAACTATCATATAATAATCTATAACGCAACAATAACAACGCTCAAAGTACTTAAAAGCAGAGTATTGCTCAGCGCTGCTGCCATCCAGAGCATATTAAAATATCTTGCTGAGAATGCGTCGTCCGTCGCATGCGAAGGTACGTAGCAGTTTATACATCACAGCGAACAACAATACATGCATTGTTCTCTATTCAATCGTTTGAATGTTTTGAGTCACATAATCGTGAAGAGAACAATGTATGTGATGTATAAACTGCTACGTACGTTCGCATGCAACGGACGACGCATTCTCAGCAAGATATTTTAATATGCTGTGGATGGCAGCAGCGCTGAGCAATACTCTGGTTAAAAGTGACTTTAAAATCAATGGCATTTCGTACGATGAAAACTACAAAGATTTGTTCATACGAAAAGTCGAAGAAGTGTAAGTAAATCTCCCATATATTCCGAATTATTTTTTTTTAATTCCTTTACTTTTTAGAATCGTCCGAGCGTACAATCAACATCAGTCAGCGGTATTGTTCGAAGATGCCTACTGTTTTATCGAAAAATTTCCCCCGAACGATGTCCTATCGGTATTGGACAATACATTTGGCGACGAATTTATGACGGCATTATATTTCAAAGCAATCGACAGTGGAAATCCCGTGAAGGTAGAACAATTACAAAATAGTACAGCCATCAATACAACGACGACAAAAATAAGAACACCAAATGAACCAGATACAATGTCGAGTCAATCAAAAGCGATCAGTGCTATTTATTCTCCCAACGAAACGACTGCTATCGATATGTGTCTTGAGAATGACACAAACAATGCCAACAAATGAGTGGATAAATGTCAAAAGGAGAAAGCGTAAATTTGACCAACATTTGGCATTGAAACCCATTACAAAGTCAACAACTATTGGTGAAGACTTTCGTTCAAATATGTGTGATTTTGATTGATCAAACTCCTTTTCATTCTCATTTCAACAGAACTATCATGGCTTAATCCAAGACTATCAATTGATTTAAAGAAGCCAAACAGTACCGATGTGAAACCCATTCAGCCGATTTTTGACGGTGCGAAACCAATTGGACCGAACGATAATATGCCCAGATCTCCTGCGGTCAGCCATGAAATCACACACCTTGCCGAGAAACAAAAATGCAACAGTCCGCCGATAACTTACAAGGGTTATGATTCAAGAGATACAAAGGACGTTCAGCAAAACTTCGAAAAAGTACAATTCGAATGTTACATATGCAAAACTAATATACCTAGAAGATCACAAATAATACATCATATGCGTAAACACAAAATATAAACCATTTCTCTCATTGTCCCGATACATTCGATGCATCAACATTGTAATCATAGCAAAACCCAAACACTTTTGACGACGGGCAGCTATTTACTATCGAACAATGTTTAGAGATAATTTAAACGTAACCAGATAACATCACGTTCATATTTTTTATTTATCTGAATTGAAAAATTGTATGAAACAAAAGAAATTCTATTGAAAGTGATGACGCATTTTTGTCAAAATGAAATTTATTTATTGTGATGGTAGAAAATAAGCAGTTGAAAGATAATTATAGAGAAAAAAACGATTTTTTCTCTAAAATAATAAAATTAATATACAAATGTCTTTCCAGATTGTATTTCTCATTTCAATCTGGGGTCAGAGAATATATTCTACGATTTTAAGCATGGAATAGAAACATATCATGGAAGCCATCTCGACCATGGGCATACGATCGTTATTGAACGATAGAAATTTAAAAATACCGCTCGCACGTACTCAACCGTACTTAATTCGCGATGTGGAGAGTCGCTTCGATTGAACATTGAGTGTAGAGCACAGTAAAGCACAGTTTGGCGTTTGATGAATGATACGTAATTTCTGTGTATCAACAAATCAGCTTTTGTGTACAGTGTACACTCTGTCTCTGTTTTGTTATTTTATTTTTTTATACAAATATACGATGGAAATATAATTTATTTGATCAAATCCAAGAGATTTAAACCATTAATCATCATTGCAAATTGCGCAGTCATAAACATAAAGTGTAAAATTCAATCACATATTGTCGCGTAGAACCAGAACGCCAGAGACCTAGACGGATAACCTCATATTTGGGTAAGCAATCAGTTGGTCATTAAATTTTGGCCATGGGAACAAAAAACACGGGAAGCCAAAGGGAATTTGGAAGAAGAGAGAGAGATGAAGAGATTTTGTTCGATTGGTCTATAGAGGTCATTTCTTTATAACGGTAAAACATACAGTGAACAAAATAGTCACAACACCGACACATTAGTCTATTTGCGTTAATTGCGTTTGTACACAGAATTTGATTTTGGTTGGCACAACATCGACGTGGAATGATTTAATAGCGACATTTAATGGATTATCCTGAATTTCTGCATATTTTCAGGAAAAATGATTGGAAATTAGCACCAGAATCTATCCAACTACTGGACGAACACTCAAGTTGCTACGAAGATAGCGCTGCAATTGGTGAAACATGATTTCGCGTACAACGGAATGGCATTTGACGAGAAGTTCGAGAAGTACTTTCTACATACAACGAATGCTCTGTAAGTAAACTATTCTTATTTGCGGTTTGATATAATGTTCATTGATTTTCCACACAAATTCATAAATAAACATCAACAAAACGCTCGATGTCGCTCTCATTGTTATCTCCATAGAGTCGCTCAAGTGTACGAACAATTTATCTGGGAGATGCAATCCATTGGGATTCCATTTCAAAGTTACTGTGCAAGCGGTGAGACTGAAATAAATCGATGGAATAACTGCCAGCAGACTGATCAAATGGCACCAACAATAAACCAAGAGGCACTCGGCGATTGGCCACAAAAATTACCATTTTCAACACCATTTTATGATGAAATAAATGCATCTGAAGCAAGCGTACTTCACAATGAAACGTTCCACCAACATTCCGAATTTGTGGACAACAACATCCATTTAAATAATGTCAATGAGTGGATCGAAGCAATGATTGGCAACCAACTAATTTTGACCGCTGAAATCGACGGGACACAAGCGACTATTTCGTCTGGAAATGGCCTGAATGGAAACGGGATTGGCAGTGATAATCCAATCGAAACATCGACAAAAATACTGACAACGGCTTGTCAAAATTCTGTGCAGCCAACCATCGATTCGATTATACAAGCGGGAGATCCAGATACAAATGGAGTCATCCATTGCCTAGAAATGAATAATTGTATGAATGAACATCAATCAGTGTCAGCTTTGACCCCAAGGGGCAAACTACTTCACTTTCGTAATTCTTATAATTCAATCTAGTACTCCGATAATTCCAAAAAATTCTATATAATTCCATACAATGCCACATAATTCCAAACAGTTTTTGAAGTATTTTAAATAGTTGTTTATTTACACAGAATTTTT